GCATAAACACCTGTATATTTTTATTTATAGTATTTCCCTTCCCAAATGAAAATAGTATCAGTCAAGATGAAACGCTGCTTATTAAAATGAAACCAACATGTAATAAAAACAACGTTTAAAATCGCACCATCTGCATATCTGTTGTGATAACCCTTCCTACAGTAGAATGAACTCTTCCTCCTCTTATAAATACTAACTGTGAGACTTCCTAGGGCAGTCGTTGAGCAGTCTCTGACTGTGTGTGACTTCTGTCGAACTCTCTGCTTTGACAGAGAGGAATCCGGACGAGGCTTTGCCGAAGGCCAAAGTTTCGTCCGGAGAGGTAGACAGATCCCGAACACGCTTATGCGGGTTCAAAGGGAATATTTCTGGCCGAGCCTACGAGCTCAGAGAAACCCACGTTAAAATCGGCCTTGTGCCACATACATTCCTCGTGGGGGGGACTGTTAAATATCATCGTTGAGCAGTCTCTGACTGTGTGCAACTTCTGCCGAACTCTCTGCTTTGGCAGAGAGGAACCCGGACGAGTCTTTCTCGTGGGGGGGGCTGTTAAATATCGTCGTTGGGCAGCCGAGACGCCGTGTCACCTGATCGTTCGGACGTCCACTTCTATCTGATTATTACTTACACTCTTGCTTTGTATTTCAGGACACTTGTTCAACCTACCTTCGTCTTATGTGACTTTCTTTTCAGGCCACAACAAATATCCAGACTTACACCACCTGGTATTCTCAAAGAAAATTCCACCTGATCAGGCTCGACGTTGGATCGACAATAGATGGTATTACAGTGATTCTGAACAAAGAGACAAAATTCCTATTCGGCACCCACCCCAGGTAAGGCTTGCTAATATTAACTTGGTTAGTGATTTTTAGAGCATCAGGCTATTTTTTTCGATTCCTTGCAAGACATTTGTATTTTTACCTTTTTGTTATCGCGCAGAATTTTTTTTTTATTTCCCTTCCAAATATTGGCTAGAGAGCATAATTTATTTAACCCATAGAAATGAAGAGACAGGGATAAATGTTTCATGCCTTTTCCCAAGTTCATTTTTGCGGAAGTGAATGCAATATAATAGGCTATATTTTGAACTTGGTTCTCCGAGTTCACTTTAGCGTTACAATACGATTTTTGACATATTGATCAGAATAAATATTCTTTAACGCGCATGTGTACTGTAAGTTACTATCTGTTTACGTCAATATTTTTCATTTAGTTATTAAGATGTCTTGTTATGTTGATAGTCAGTGGTCGGTTTCAAGTCAGAATATGTAACAAGATAAAAAAAAGAAATGAAAATAAAAAAATGGGATTTTTGTGTTACTCGTGATTGGTACATTGATGCCACCTAAATATTCCAGAAGAAAAAAAATAGTGATAAAAGAGAAGAAAAAAAAACGCAACATATGAAAATGTTAACAAAACATGTTATTAAAATGGCGGACAGAAAGAATGAAAGAAAGAAAACGATGAGAAATCTCGTTTATTTCTTTTTGTAGCGAGGTAACAGCGGTCAAATATTTGAGATAAGGACAATCAGAGAAAGACTTGTTATTTAGCTTGATTATCTGAGGGGAGTGGTAGTAGCACCTGTTAGGGTACCAGCTATAGGCAAATAGTTAACCCCCAAACCCAAACTAGAATGAAAGCAGAGAAATATTTTTCATAGTAAAAATACTAGCAATACAATTTTGGAAAAAAAATATTGCACCCATAAATTTGACACTCGACAAAAATAAAAATAAATAAAAGTTATTCTACAAACTGACTTCTCATAAAGAATAAATATTATATTCATAAGAATCTATCCTAGAAATCTTGTCATCATTTAATAACACACTGAGGTTGATATGCTGTAAAACAAACCAATATATACTGAGATAGATAGATAGATAGATAGATAGATAGATAGATAGATAGATAGATAGATAAAAATATTACCAGCAATAAAAATCTTGTCGTCATTTAATTACCCACTGAGGTTGATATGCTGTAAAACAAAATAAACCAGACCAATATATACTGAGATAGATAAAAAAAATATTACCAGCCATAAAAATCTTGTCATCATTTAAAAACCCACTGAGGTTGATATGCTGTAAAACGAAATAAACTAACCCAATATATACTGAAATAGATAGATAGATAGATAGATAGATAGATAGATAGATAGATAGATAGATATAATAAAAATATTGTCCATCATTTAATACCCTACTGAGGTTGCAATACTGTAAAACAAAATAAAACAACTAAACCATTATCTGAGCACATAGTGAGGATCTGACCCATTACTAACGGTCAAGAATCACATTAACAATTACACCACGTTGATACATCTAAGATTGTATGGATCGAAATATATTTGACTCTGAGTGGGTATAATACGGTTAGTGAGCTACATACGGAGCGCCTGATTGTTCCCCCCGCCAGAAATAGTACAATAAATATAATGTTTTTAATTTCCATTTAAAAATTAGAAAAATAAATAGAATTAACGGAGTCATATGTCGCATAAAAGATAATTTATCAAAAGTAGAGATAAATAAATGTAAAGATGGAAGCCAAATATATTTTATAGTGAACCCCAGTTTCTGGAAATTCTGTTGCATCTATTCGTCTTTTCTGGTTTTCTCTGAATGAACTTGAAAGATAATCTTTTCTAGTATTTTTCGCTATTTAGTAACTCTAGTCACCTGCGAAACTATTATTTTCCTATTATTTCAGATTAGACACACCTTTGAGATGAACTGCCAGGTGGACAAGAATGAACATGTTCGACATCTCCTTTTTTGCAAAGTTGTTCAAGCTGTTCGAAACATTTGTGCTGTGTTCGGAGATGAGTCACTACTGACAGAATGTCATAGAAATGGTTTTCATGTTTCTGGCCAACCTGTTCAGTTTTATGAGAACCAGTTGCACGCGATGATTAAAGAACCAAGCCAGACCGCTAGAGAATTGGCTCAGAAGATGGCAAGCTCTAATTTTACTGTCGCTCATCATCGTAGACAACAACTAAATGGTCAATCCTAAGCTGTCTGTTGAACAAATGAATAGATTCAAAGAGAAAATTCAGCTGACCGGCGATACAGTGTGATTATTCAACATGATAAAACTTGCCACACCTGTCGCTACCTTGTCCAAACATGTAATTAATCAGCTCTGTTGGAAATTTTTGCCACGCCCAAATTATTCTCCTGATTTAGCTCCTTCAGATTGACATTCTTCGGCACATGTATTAATACCAGAGATAAAAAATGTGCCATGTTTTCTACATCTCACTATAAACGTCTTCAAGAATTTCATATTGTAAAGAATAAAAAAAGTTCAGGATTTCAAAACTCTTATGTGTAGTAAAACTTGTGCGCCATCGAAAATGTTTTGATTGACTGATTCGTTTAATAAGACTTTGCAGGTTATTTAAAGCAAGAATTGTTTATAATTTTATTTTAAGACTTTTTCTTTAGAGATGATAAGGATATAGTGATACTAATTAACTAATAGTTGATTGGAGAATAGGTCAATTCATACCTTTTCCAAGAGTATTTGCGCGTAACTTAATGTAACAAACACAACAGGATTTGGAACTCGGCTATCCGATTATCATTTAAGACCCTTATCCATTACATCAACCTCACACCAAAGGCTTACAGCTTACAGATATTCAGGAATATGGAAAAAGTGTCCCAGAATAAAATTAAACAATACTCAACAGGGTATACAAGAGTCCCTCAATGCAGAGGGTTACTGTGTAGTGTTGTATGAGCCCAAGAAAGGATAACAAGTGAGGTTCATAGGCCTATGCGAGAAAGATAATAGTTAACTTTAAACTTGAAAAGTTCAACAGTTTAGTGATTGGCAAAATATCCTGATCTGTGCTTGTTCCATAAATCAGCAATTCTTGGGAAGATGTTCGAATAGAATTTAGTTCTTGCTCTAAGAATACAAAATGGAATGAGATAATTTAACCTTGTGTCACTAGATTAGCGAGTGCCAGGTTTTAAGGTCAGGGTTGGTGTGTTTAAGGTATGTAGCTCGTCAGAGCACATGCCATAGAGTTAGCGATAAAGCAACGAGAGGCATGCAACGTTTCGTCCGTGAGAAAGGGGTTGTAATGTGGAAGATAATTAATCACCCACAAAGCTGCGTAGACGCATTTGAACTCCATCAAGACAAGCAAATGATAACTGGGAATCTCATCCCCAGACAGAGCAGCCAAACTCCATTTTAGCTCTGCTCTGTCTCTTGTGAAAATAGAGGATAACATGGTTAGTATGATACTTACTGGAGAGGAGCAATGAACCGACTATATTTTTATTCCAGTTGAGTCCTTTTTATTCACTTACGCGCTAATACTATTGGGAAATTTAACTATTCTACCCCCAGCTATAGGTTAATTAGTAAGCTTAGTATCACTAAAACCATTAATATCTCCAAAGAAATTGTGTGCAAAATATTTATATTTCGATATTAAATGAACTGTAGCAGCGATATGCCGCTAAGCAACCAACAACAAGAAGCATCTCTGGTAATATGTCTGATATATGCGTTGCACTTGATGTCTGGGGTGTTGACCATGTTTGCCGCAGTCCCTGAATATGGAATCCAGTGAAGTCCGTAATCTGTTCAATATCAGAAGTCGGCAGTGAAGATTCAGAGAAAGTAGCGGCTGTTAAGTAATTCTTTAAGTCTTCGATATCAGGTTGGCAGTGCTGACAATTTGGGAGAAAAAATGGCTGCCTTTATACACGTCGCATTGAATATTTTGAGCTTTCTGATTGGTTAACACTTCTATTGTTGAACTATAACATGAGTCAGCTCATTTAGGCTAGCTCACTAGTACATACGTATACACAAAAAACTGGAACATGGGGAGAGTCTCAATAGACGATGAAGACAAGTAATGTCCTTGAGAAAATTATACGAAAAAGAAAGCCCCTATTTTCTTTAAGTTCTAAATCTCTGAATAATCACTCATGATGTAGAGAGTACGTCTTCGAATGGATCCAGCCGTTAGCTGTTGTTCAGAGAGTGTGATTGGTCCACTGCAGGTCTTTTACCCTCTCTGTAAAAAGAGGCTTCTGGCGGAGAAATTGATTTTTCTGTGTATTGGAGGTGTAATGACAGACGGTATGATAAAAAAAAAATCACCCAAATTTGATTACATATCCACGGTTTGAATGTTGGAGAGCGTGAGTTTAGGCGTAAAATCTACGTTTGTCCTGTGCACAGGAGAAACTTAGGAATGATGTTCTACCGAAGACTATATTCAGAAACGAAAAAAAATCTGTACATATTGTTGTAACCTAGGGATGGTTAACTGAATAGAATAATCAAACGAAGGTTGGTAATGAACGATAATACTTAGAACACGAACAACACATATAAGATTCGCCAGCGGCTTGTAGAAGAAGTAGTCAACTTCTAGAAGTGAGTCAAGTGAATTCCACAATGAATTTCCAACTGCAGGATATCTACCAACCGCCCCACGCAAGTCAGATGTGGCACCGGGCAGAATTTAATGTGGAGTATCCAAGCCCGCAGGCTAGGTCAAATTTCCCCGTATTAAACGGGGTCAGGTAGCTGTTTCCCGAGACGAGAGTCTGCCCTTCCACATAACCTCGTCTGGGGTTCCTCACTGCCCGGAGTCAGAGAGTTTGACCCGCACAGCTGGAGACGAACCTCCAACAGCAGGATATCTACCAACAGCCTCACGCGGTCAGATGTAGCACAAGAATGAAATTAATGTGGGGTATCCGAACCCGTAGGCTCGGCCCAAATTTCCCTTAGACCGCGTATTAAACGAAGTCGGGTAGCTCTTTCCCGAGACGAGACTCTGCGCTTCGACATAACCTCGCCTGGGGATCCTCTCTGTCCGGATCAGAGAGTTTGACGAGCACAACTAGAGATGAATCTCCAACTCTAGACCAACATACTGTATTTACTACTGTATTTATGTGAATTATCGTCTGTAGGTATGCTACAACATTATATATATATTCGTAATTTGATAGATAGAAACATAAAGACAGATGCAATTAAATATAATGAGTATAGTTAATGTAAGCTTCCATTTCTATTCCTAACTTTCTTTTCCTTTCGTTCTCTCTTCTTTTCCACGCATCTTTCGTTCTTTTTTTCTTACTCCGCTGACTTTCAGAATTTCTTTCTTTCCTTTTTTCTTTCTTTCTTTGATTTAGAAATATCTTTCTATCTGTCTTTCTCTCGGTTTAGGAAATTAATTTTTATATCCTTGCATTTTTTATTCATTCTTTCTTAAATATTGTATTTGTCTTGTATATACTTTCTTTATTTCTTTCTTTCTTCATGAACATTGTTTCATTGCCTCCGTATATTTTTCTTTCTTTCTTTCTTTCTTTCTTTCTTTTTTCGTTTACTTTCTTCCTTCGCTTAATTTCCTTCTTTCTTCACGTAATTTCTTTCTTTCTTCACGCCTCTTCTTCACGTACTTTCTTTCTTACTTCACGTACTTTCTTTTTACATTTTCACGTACATTCTTTATTTCTTCATATACATTCTTACTTTTTCGCCTAAATTTTCTTTATTTCTTTCTTTCTTTCTTTCTTTCTTCACGGACATTGTTAGTTTCTTTCCCTCCGTATAATTTTCTTTCTTTCTTTCTTTGTTCGCGTATATTCTTTCTTTCTTCACGTCTAATTTTTCCATCTTTCTTCACGTACTTTCTTTCTTTCTTCACGTTCATTCTTTCTTTCTTTCTTTCTTCACGTACTTTCTTTCTTCATGTACATTCTTTTTACTTTTTTCACATACATTCTTTATTTATTTATTTATTCAAATACATACTTTCTTACTTTTTTGGCGTACATTGTTTCTTTCTTTCTTTCTTTCTTTCTTTCTTTCTTCAAGGATATTGTTTGTTTCTTTCCCTCCGTATAATTTTTTCTTTCTTTCTTTCTTTCTTTCTTTCTTTCTTTCTTTCTTTCTTATTTGTTTCTTTCTTTCTTCACGTCCATTCTTTATTTATTGATTTCTTTCTTCATGTACTTTCTTTCATACTTCACTTACTTTCCTTCTTCATGAATTTCTTTCTTTCTTTCTTTCTTTCTTTCTTTCTTTCTTTATGCACATTCTTTGTACTTTTTTCACGTATAGTCTTTCTTTCTTCATTTATTTTGTCACATACATTCTTTCTTGCTTTTTTCGCGTACCTTTTCTTTCTTTCTTTCTTTCTTTCTTTCTTTCTTTCTTTCTTTCTTTCTTTCTTCACGAACATTGTTTGTTTCATCCCCTCCGTATAATTTTCTTTCTTTTTTTCTTTCTTCACATAATTTACTTATTTCTTCACGTCTATTTTTCCTTCTTACTTCACGTACTTTTTTCTTTCTTCACGTACTTTTTTCTTTCTTCACGTACTTTCTTTCTTCATGCATTTCTTTCTTTCTTTCTTCATGCACATTCTTTTTACTTTTTTCATGTACATTCTTTCTTCCTTTTTTTCGCCTACATTTTCTTTCTTTCTTTCTTTCTTTCTTTCTTTCTTTCTTTCTTCACGGACATTGTTTGTTTCTTTATCTCCGTATAATTTTCTTTCTTTCTTTCTTTCTTTGCGTAATTTCTTTCTTTTTTCACGTAATTTCTTTCTTTCTTCACGTCTATTTTTCTTTCTTTCTTCACGTCTTTTCTTTCTTTCTTCACGTAATTTCTTTCTTCATGCATTTCTTTATTTCTTTATTTCTTCACGTACATTTTTTCTTACTTTTTTTCGCGTCATTTCTTTCTTTCTTTGCATGGTGATTTTAAGACAAAAAAAAGGAAACGCTTAATAAGTTTAATATTCTCCTAAATAATGCAATCAATTAAAATCCTAGAATGATATGAAGCAGTTGAATGAAGGCAAACGTAAATGATAAAAAAGTCAAATGGTGTTGACAGACATAAAAAGAGGAAAAAAATAACCTCGACAGAAATGAAAATGAAAAGCAGAAACACGTTACGTGAAAATTTATGTCAAAAAATGATGGCGACGGCATTTGCAATGGGAATCCATTGAGGATGTCGTCTGTTTTGAGAAAGGTGACATTATGAAGGAGAAAGCCAATGAACATTCGTTAACGACGTGACAATGAAACATAAAACGGAATAATCAGTGAGAATTGTTGAAAGCTCTTCGCTTCGCGCGCAGGTGTTGCCAGTTGAGAATTTGGCGACCGTGCGCTCGAGATGAGACGAACTTGCTACAAAGAACGCGGGTAAAATGAGAAGAATTAGGAGGTGGGGAATGAGAAATCAAAGGCTATTGAGTCGATCAAAAAGCGAAAGTAACTCTGACAGAAATATCTAGCATAGGCACGGAAGAGAGAAATTGATGATGATTGTGATGTTTCTAAAGATGTATGCGGCAACAGGCAAAAAAAAATGAAGAAAAAAATGAAATGAACAGAACATTCGGTATGATAGAACATTCAGATATATACATAGATACAGATATGAACATATTGCGTTATATATATAGTTAGACGTGAACAAACTGATATATGTTTAGAGTGATACTGACAAACTACGATCTATCTCTCTCTCTCTCTCTCTCTATATATATATATATATATATATATATATATATATATATATATATATATATAGCATATATAATAATAGCAATAATATATATATATATATATATATATATATATATATATATATATATATATATATTATTGCTATTATTATACAGGGTATCCATAGAGTTCGTGTGCACTTTAAAAATAATTTGTAAAAAGGATTAGAAAAAGTAAATCTATATCTTTTAAGATTTTATTGAAATTTTATTTAAGTTTCCACATGTCCTCCATCATTAGCAATACAAAGGGTAATATGATTTTGCAGTTCACGGAAAATATGTCCCAACTAATTTACAGTAATGCCTGAAATCACATTAGTTATGTTAGCTATTCTTAAAACTAGGTACATTAAAATTTATAACATTTTTTACAGATTATTTCTATCACAAATACAAATAAAGTTATAAATTTTTTAAAGCCCACACGAACTTTATGGACTCCCTGTACATTAAATATTATATTATATATTATTTTTTTTTCTTCTCTTTCATCTTCTCTTTTAATGTATACATAAGGTTAGTAAATGCAAACCAGACGAAATATTTTCATATATGCATCGGCAATATGAATTGGCTGGATTTCAAGTTTAGATTATATCATTGTTTATTGTGCCTAATGCCACCCCAAAGTATCCACACATTTCCGGTGTCTGGTTTTAATTTTAGGTCAACGGATTGGTTATGATTTATGCATCTGATAATGACTCATATTTATCTGTTATCTCACTCATTTAAAACTTTATTTAAGACTCCTCTCTTTAAGACTCCTCTCTTTAAGACTCCTCTCTTTAAGACTCCTCGCTTTTAAAGTTTAATCCCCACCTTCACCATTAAGCCTTTCTGGTTCTTCTTTCTTCTGTTACACCCTTCTCTATGTCTTTCATACATTTCTCTATCACACTTGTTTCCCACTCCCACACATACACTCTCGCTAGAATTTTATTCTTTATACTCGGAGTTATATTTTCCGATTTCATTTTTGAATTTGTAGGTCTGATGAATTGGATCGTGATTATGATTCCAATTTAGTAAATTATAACCATGGAATATTAGTGTTGAGCCTTTCTGAATATATATTATATATATATATATATATATATATATATATATATATATATATATATATATATATGAGAGTGATGGATATGAAAAAGCTGAGATAGATTTATAGATAGATATTAAGCGACTGAGAGAGATGGAACACATTTAGATAGATATATAAAGGGAGATAAATAGGAACACCTTGAGTTATGATCAGACGTGAACAAACTGACAATAATTGTAGAGTGGTAGGGACATACTCATATATATATATATATATATATATATATATATATATATATATATATATATACTGTATACCGTACCTATGAACACAAATGAGTATGTCCCAATCCTCATAAATACGTTGGACACTATTGTAAATGAAGGTAATATGTCATCTGAGTAGTTCAACAATAGCAATGGTTTACCTAATTCCCGCCGCTGGCAATTATTGTATTTTGTTGATTTTATAATGATTACCATTTCATTTCCAACCTCCATTTTTAATTTCCTATGTTACAGCAATCAACCATTCAAACATTTGCCCTTGCATTGAATATTGATGTCATATAAGCTCTGGAACCCCCGTTGTTCGTCAAAATTCAGGGACGGATATGCAATGTGGTAGACCCGGATCTCGGATCTCGTTCACAGTCGCCCTCTCACAGACGTGACGTCGCCTTCCTCTGTCTTTTCTACAAATACTTTCACAGTAACTGAAGTAACGAGATATTTTCACTAGTTCCCAGACTGCATGAATTTAAACGTGCCACTAGGTCGGCATTTTAGTCCCACCCTTTCACTGTCGAAACGGTTAAATGTAGCCGTCTCTTTTACTCCAATAGCTTCATGTCTCGCACTTCCCGTCTGTGAAATTCCCTTCCTCTTACTTGCTTCCTTGATAGCTATAATCTCCAACTATTTAATACAATATCAATCGACATCTCCAGATGTCTTGGTCTATTCCCCGTCCTTCTTTTCATGCCTCTTTACTCTTGCTGTCATTCTTTGTAAACCTGTGCGTGCTAGTGGCACTCCCGCCTTGCTTAGGGTGAAAAGCTTTATACATATATATATATATATATATATATATATATATATATATATATATATAAATATATATATATAATAAGATTTAAAAAAAGCTGAAATAGAAATGTTGTATCAAAACATACAAAAACTTGAAGAACATCAAATGATAAATACAAAACAAGAAATCCGGAACCTACTCAAGGCTGTGGTGGTGATTGACAGGCATAAGTGTTGTATATGGCGAAACGAATTTTTTTCTTTACATTTTTTTTCGTATGAATTTCTAATTCTGGTCGCCAAAGTTGTTATAGAGTGAACGAACATTTTTTTCTTCCGTATGAATTACGAATCCCTCGTCGCCAAATGTGTTGTAAAGTAGTTTTCGCAGTGGAGGCTTGTATTTTACTGAGTCGGTCCTAAAAGGGTCCGACGTACAAAACGTTAGGAATTTGAAAAAATAGTTAAGGACGCAGCCATCTAGTTGTGGGGCTCATACTTTAATGTCCGACATCGACTGACTCACACAACTCACTGAGCTCCACTGGCGACTGCTACTACTACTTATTATCTGTACTACTACTTATTATCTATTTACAATAGAAATAGGTACGTTCCGGTATAACAATAACAGAGGGAAAAACACATCCAGACTTCTATCAAAACAACAAAAAGCTGCTGCTGAAGAGCTACGTAACCGCACCAATCAAATAGTTAAAAAAAGCAAATAAACGCAATATCTTCGCCATATTAAATAAATCAGATTATTATTCAAAGACGCAACAAATACTGGACGATCACAACAAATTTAAAAACATTGGCAAAATACGATTAACCAAATAAAATCGAAAATCAACAAACTTATCACAGACAATAACGAAGGACTTCATAGCTTAAAACTTCCTAAAATAATTGGCGACTGAAAACCAGGTTACATGTATGGAACTATAAAAATACATAAACCAAACTTCCCTCTCCATCCTATCATATCCAAAATTCCCACTCTTATTTACCAACTAACCAAAGTTGTTAATCAACTAATTGCACCATATATACCTAATAAATACTGCATTAAATCAACACATGAACTACTCCAAATTCTAAAAACACAAAAACCTATTAATGAAACCATAGCCTCACTTGACGTTGAAAGTTTATTCACCACCGTCCCAGTCAGAGAAACTAGATATGATAAAAAGATATCTACAACAGTCCATTTTGCCCTTCAGTAAAAATAAGTCCCAATATTTTGAGAGAACTCCTGATGTTCACAACAGACGTTATTTTCTGTAACGATCAACATAACATGAACGTACAATGCGATGGTGTTTCTATGGGTTCCCTACTGGGGCAAATAGTTAGCAACTTCTACCTGACTAACATAGAACATAACGTAATTAATACCACAAAAAACACTCCATCTACTTAAGATATGTAGATGACATTATCATTTTAGTCCAAAACACAGACAAAATCCATGAACCACAAAAAGAAAAACATTAAAATAAACTCCATACTTGATTTCACATACAAATTTAACAACGAAAATAAAATCCCATTTCTTGATGTATTGAAAGACACTAATAATAATACATTTACTACCTCTAGAGGAAAACATTCTATGCACTTATAAACACTAATTCAAGTAAATAAAATAAAATAAAATATAAACTATAGTAAAGTTAATAAAACCAACCTCGTCATCCGTAACAACTCTTCTCCTTCAATACTGTATATCAATTTAAATGTCCTTTGGGAGATTGCATCTCTGATAAAAATGTTAATGCGTTTTACAACAATGACGATAAAGAAAGGCTTACGTTTCCCTTCAACGATCATAGTTCAATCTCAGATTATTTAAAGGAAACTCATTTCTAAATTCAGAAATTCGACAGATATTAGTCGAAAATATATCAGTGCTTCATCAAGATAATAATAAGCAAAAGCTTAAAATTCTGGAAGTCCTTAAAATAAGAAATGGCGGCGAAAAACAAATAAAGTCAACTACAAATATAGCAACAAAGATCTTAAATTTAGCAGCAAAGTGTTATATAAAAAAAAATACTAAAAAATACTATAATTAAAAAATATTTAAAAATTAAAAAATATATCATATAAGTTACCTCCCTTGAATAGAGCTAAAAATATTTACGATGTTAACACATTCATAGATATGCATGTTACAGTTTTTTGTGTATATATATATATATATATATATATATATATATGACTAGTGAGCGAGTCAAAATGACTTAACTCCCTTTATAGTCCACCAATAGAAGGTTAACCAATCAGAAGCTGCAGTACATTGTATCCTTCGTGTATAAAGGCGGCCATCTTTTATCCTAGCGGAATGACCAGTGCCAACTTGTCAGGCGAAGATGACAGGAGGAAGAACTACGCTCTGCTATTTTGCTGCGATATCCACTGCTAACCTGAACTACGCTTTCCTACTGTCTCCGAAATATTCACTGCTAACCTCTGGATTCTATACTCGAAGACGACCATCATGAATTTGTAACAATGCAAACACTGAAGATTGTCCCAGATGAGATTGAAATGACTTGGGAAAATAAATATTATTGGAAAGAAAATTTTGGAATTATTCTTTTTCAATTTTCTGGAGCCGAAATTAATCCGTGCATTTGAAAGGATTAAGGCTAAAATAGACATAATACGTCTACATCATTTAACCCAGCATGGTTGAATGAAACTATGCTACTTGTATATAAACTAGGATAAAATATACAGGATTATCGAAAAAAAGCTTAACGTTTCGAAGTGTTAAGATTATTTTCATTCCACTGTAAAAGTTTCCAAGAAGTTAATGATAAGGGTGAAGAAAGCATATAGTTTTCCTACTCTAATAAAGATATTTCCATAGAAATATCTACACATTTTAAATTCCCTGTATACGTTTATTTGTGCCTGCTTAATAATTGTAATACTTATGAAGGAATCGTTTTCGATATCAGGCACGGATATTTTGCAGAAAAAGCGAATGTGAACCTGACAACCGCCAGCAGACAATGATTGGCAGTTTCACGCATTCAGCGAACATCAGATCTATGGTTGCTTATGATGTAAAAGTTACAGTGTTGATTTCTGACTCCACATCTATCTATCTATCTATCTATCTATCTATCTATCTATCTATCTGCCACTGTCTGTTCATATCTATCTATCTATCTATCTATCTATCTATCTATCTATCTATCTATCTATCTATCTATCTGCCACTGCCTGTTCATATCTATCTATCTATCTATCTATCTATCTATCTATCTATCTATCTAATTAATATACTTTGAATAAAAAAAATTTGAAGAGTAAAATAAATAGACAAATACATAAAAATAGGATAGTCTATCTGTAAACTAGTGAACGCTAGTATTAATGAAATAGTGCTTGATGTAAAATGTAGCATTTATAATAAGAACAATTTTATTACTACGCGAAGATCCAAGCAGATAAATATCACAGCAATTATAACAAAGCATAAATGGAAATTGTCCGACCTAACACTTCCTTAGTTCTAGGCTACTCGCAAGACAATGTAGTCTATTTTCATAAGGAAAAATAAGTTAATATACTTTGAATAATAGAACTGATTTAATAGTCACATGAATATATAACAATAAATAGTTATTGAATAAGATGGAAAAAAAAACACGTGAAAAACTGAAATAAAAACGCTTGAAAAAGTTCCTTCTCCGTCACATTCAATAAAAAAAGTTAAAAGGATAAATTGCCACCCAAATATACAATAGATAGATAACAGACTGAAATATATAGGTAAAAGCGTGAAATGGACAGACAGAAAAGAAATAGATAGATAGATAGATAGATAGATAGATAGATAGATAGATAGATAGATAGATAGATAGATAAAAGAGTGAAGCACATAAAGAGACAGATAGATAAAAGAGTTAAATAGATAGATAAAAGAATGAATTAGATAAAAAAATGGAATGGTTAAGAGAGTGATATATATATATATATATTATATATATATATATATATATATATATATATATAGTTATATATAGAGATAGATAGATAGATAAAAGATTGAAATGCATAGATAGATAAAAGAGGAAATATCTATCTATCTATATATATCTATATCTATCTATCTATCTATCTACCTATCTATCTATCTATCTATCTATATATATATATATATATATATATATATATATATATATAGATAGATAGATAGATAGATATAGATAGGTAGATATAGAGAGATAAAACAGTGAATTAATGAGATAAAAAGTGAAATTGATAAGAGTTAGACAGATAAGAGAGTGACATGTATATATATATGTATATTTATGTGTGTGTGTGTGTATATATATATATATATATATAGAGAGAGAGAGAGGGAGATAAAAAGTGAATTAATTAAATAAAGAGTGAAATAGATAAAAGAGTGAGAGACAGATAAGATAGTGAAATATATATATATATATATATATATATATATAGTTATATATATATGTGTGTGTATATATATATATATATAGTTATATATATATATATATATATATATGGTTAGATATATAGATAGATAAAAGTGAGATAGATACAATCGACATAATAACAAGATGTATAATTAACATATATTTTTTTAAACTTTATTCCTGAATAAATTTTTGCAGGGAAAACATTTATTCCGAATTTAGGAAAAATATCTAAACATTAATAAAATTCAACAAGCTTTCTAACAGTTTCTCTTGAAATGTTATTTTGCTGAATATTTTCCTCGTCTTTATTGTCCGAAAATCTATTCACTGAGATGCCATTTGTTTGCGTAGCACAAGCAAAGTACGTGACTATATGAAATGTTTCATTGTGAAAGTTTTGACTTAACAATCTGAGAGTAATCACAAAGAACTTGCTGAAAAATTAATATATACTGGCATTTTCAAAATCAAGAAAAATATTTTAAGCTAGTGACCTTTAACCAGTAACCATTTTATTAACGATGAAACATTATCGATAAAGAACAGGTTCTATCTATCTATCTATCTATCTATCTATCTATCTATCTATCTCAGTCTGTTCATATCTATTTATCTATCTCAGTCTGTTCATATCTATCTATCTATCTATCTATCTATCTATCTATCTATCTATCTATGTTCATATCTATCTATCTATCTATCTATCTATATATCTATCTATCTATCTCAGTTAATATCTATCTATCTATCTATATCAGTCTGTTCATATCTATTTATCTATCTCAGTCTGTTCATATCTATCTATCTTCATCTATCTATCTATCTATCTATCTATCTATCTATCTCTGTTCATATCTATCTATCTATCTATCTATCTCCGTCTGTTCATATCTATTTATCTATCTCAGTCTGTTCATATCTATCTATCTATCTATCTATCTAGCTAGCTAGCTAGCTATCTCTGTTCATATCTATCTATCTATCTATCTCAGTCTGTTCATATCTATTTATCTATCTCCGTCTGTTCATATCTATCTATCTATCTATCTATCTATCTATCTATCTATCTATCTATCTTATCCTGTTCATTTATTTATCTTTAAGCAACGTCAATCCTGGTCAGTACTTAAATTTAGAATGTCAGGTTTTGCAAGCTTGGATGTGTTCGTGGTGTAATGGATAACGACTCGTAGATCGAAGTTCCAATTCTATTCGGGTTCTACATATTCCCTTACGAGTATAAGGACCCTTGTGGATGCGATGAATTCACTTCATCTCCCCACAACTATGGTAAATTAGTCGGCATGTATCAGCAAATCAGTATTATCTTCAAAAGAAATTCTTTGCCCACGTGTTCATGGCATTCTCAGCATTCTTCTATAGAACATTTCATTTGCCTTAAGTCTCCTCTTCATCTGTGATAAGATTAGCCAACATTCATTGCCATGTAGGAGGACCGATATAAAATAAGTCTTCAGTTCTCTTTTGTTTCTAATGAAAATTTGGCATTTCTTAATACTACTATTACTACTACTACTAATAATAATAATAATTTTATTAGACTTTACAATAAACACAGGCAGAATAATCAAAGATAATCGCTTGTTCACTGTGATCAAAAATCAGAAAAACAAAATGTGCTTTCTTATTGTCATGTCAGTCCCTGTAAATTGTAATACATCCCTGAATATCTAAAAAAAAAAACGAGATCTTGAAGTGGAATCCTAAAAAGTAATTGGCATGTGACATCAATAATTCCAGTAGTAGTTGGAGCTCTCGGATTCATTGAAAAAAGTTCCGATAGACTGATTGAAGGAATTCTTGTAACTAATTCTTTAAACAAATACGAAAAATTGTAGTCAGAAATACAGCTCACATATTACGAAGTGCCTTATCGATGTAAAATGCGTGTGATCTCAGTTTATGTTTTTTTTTTGTTTTTTTTGTGAACCAGTTGAAAATCTCATGAAGCCATTCTTGTACTTAGCTCTTCAGTTGGGACTCGGAAGGAAAGATGTATACAACAGAAATAAAATTAAATGGGAATAAGAATGATAAGAAAAATTCTTACAGAAAATAGTTTATGACGCTTATTAAACAGCTTCCCTCTTATCTATCTACTTCCTGTATATATCGTTTTCTTCCGAAATGTATATGATGAAAGTATAGTCTAAAGTATACTACATTTAAAGAAAGAGCTGTATATATGTAAACTGAGTTTGATTTTATTTATTTATTTAAAAAATGATCAGTGGAAAGTGTAATGAAGCCATTTCTGACCTGAAATCTCTGGTTGCTAGACGGAAGGAAATGCATATACAACAGAAATTAAAGGAAATTGTAATAATAATAATAATAATTGGTCGTCGGCATCCGTCCGTCTCGAGAGACGATGGAGTAGCGCGGTGCGTTACGAGCCAAGGCGGGATATATGGAGAACTAGGGCTGCCCAGACGTCTAGTTCCTTGCTAGCAGAGTCCAAAGGAGAGGATAAACCAATACAGCGCGGCTGCAGGAGTTGCCGGAAGGTAGCACAAAGTGCCGTCCATCCACTTTAGGAGCTCTACTCCGGGTTTGAATTCAGAGTTTTCCTTCTAGACCAGTTGCCATCCAAGGCTATAGAACCCAATCTGACCTGCTATTTATCCATAGCTGAACGGAGAAGAAGAGGTTTACAAGGGTATTAGCACGTAAGTGAATGTAATGGATTCGACTGGAATTCGATCTCGGCTCTCCGATTCCTCAATCCAAGCCGCTATACATTACTCCACCGTGATTCCTCAACAACAACAACAACAACAACAACAACAACAATAATAATAATAATAATAATAATAATAATAATAATAATAATAATAATAATAATATGGGCCAATAAATTATTTTTAAATTTCACAGCAAAGACAAACGAATGTAAACTTTTTTTTTTTTTTTTTTAAACAACGCTATTTTCAACGACTTTAAAAAATAACGGAATTTACATTTACATATTACATTTTATGAATTTATGAAAAGAAAATGCGATCTTTCTAAGAAGGAATATCGTGGAATTTACAGATGGGCCAATAAATTATTTTTAAATTTCACAGCAAAGACAAACGAATGTAAACTTTTTTTTTTTTTTTTTTTTTTTTTTTAACCAGCGTCATTCTCTTTGATTTCCAATCGTGTCTCTGTCTATTGTTGCTAGCAACCCATTTAGGGAGAAGGAAAACTCCGAACAACAACCCGCAACTCAAGGTGTTAATCGTGCCGAGGAGTGAATGGCTACTGCGTTATGAGGTCGCGAACGATCCCTACAGGCTTCGGAACCCTGTCTGTAAAAGACCGTTACTCAACGTGCCGGGCAACTTTGGGTGGACTTTTGGACCCGTGCGTCACTCGTGGGATTAATATGAAAATTAAAAATAGAAACAAAACGTCCAGTATGGCTCTTCCAGTGGATAAACAGGGAGCCGTCCTTCAGGAGGGAACCTACCTGAGGTCGAAAAATCTGCCATAGGAACAAACTCCTACACAAAGAATGAATCTTCAGGTCCCCACAACCAGGATAATCCTAATGATGGTCCTGTAAATTCTCCAGCTAGATCCATAACCGTAAATTTAAGGAAAGAAAAAATAAAATGGTCTCGTGAGGAGTACAAAGTTGTTATGACTGCATTCCATGAAGCGTTACTCAAACCTCAGAAAAACATCACTCGCCAAACATATGACATTTGGCGAGAGAAGGTTGGGCAAACAATTAGAAAGTACATAGACAAAAATAAACTAGCCAATGTAAGAAGGGACATCATGCGAAATAACCGATTGACAGAGGCTGAAATTAATGAAATAAAAAGAATTGCAACAAGAATAGATGAACCAACAAAACATGAAAAGGAACCGGAATCAGGAAAAAAAAGTAATAACATCACACAAGCCTCAGGTCATAATGAAAAACCGAAATACACACAAATCACTGTGAAGATAATGCTGAAAATTTAGAAATGTTGGAAAGGTATGATCTTAGTCAGTCACAAGACGGTAATAAAACGAGTTCAAAATTCATCGAACAGAATTATTTCACAGAAAACAAGATTAATATACAAGAAGCCAAGGATGAAATCATGAGCCATATAAGTCAGATACAGAATATTGCAATGGAGGAACGAGAACAACTCCCAAAATTACAACCAACAAAGCATAACCTCAAAACTATTAAGCTCTATAATGCAGCACTCAAATTGATTCTGGATGAAGAAGACACTCATATAAATCTCAATGAAGCAATATATGCATCAGCAATAGCAGCAACAAATAAACTGAACATCAAAGTAAAAAAAAAAGGCAGTCTCACAGACATGAAGATCCACCTTGGAAAAGAAAAATAGAAAAAGAAATTGAACACCTTAGAAGTGAATTATCAGTACTCGATGAACTAGCAAGAGGAGTAAATGTAAGAACTAGAAAAGGCAGAAGAGTCGAAAAGAAAATACAATATCAGGAATGAAAATGAAGTCCTATCAACTAAAGAAAAAAAAAAGCAAACAATACAACTGAAGGCTCAAAGAATAAGACGCTACGAGAAAAGATCAAGATTCTATAGACAGAACAAGATCTTTCAAACCGATGCAAAGAAATTTTACAGGGAAATAGGTAAACAAAAGAATTGAAGTGACAGTCCCCCTAAAATGGAAGAAGTTATACAGTTCTGGGGAAAAATATGGGCTTGCCCTAAAGAACACAACGAAGAGGCAGATTGGATTGCGCAAGAGTTAGAACGAATGAAAAATAAACCAGAACAGACATGGGCGGGAATCACAGAAGAAGATGTTAAATGTGCACTGAAAAAAAGCACACAACTGAAATCTCCAGGAATAGATAAAATTCCTAACTTCTGGCTATATTATTTAAATACAGCACACAAAAAAACTCGCCAAAGAACTTCAAGAAATGGTTACCGATCCAACTAAAATTCCTGCATGGATGACCAAAGGAGTTACCTTTCTTCTACCCAAAAATAGTGACACAAATATTCCGAAAAACTATAGACCAATTACATGTCTTCCAACAACATACAAACTGTTAACATCTATTTTAACAAAACAGACATATTTCTTCTTGGAAAGAAATGACATACTACCACTTGAACAAAAAGGGTGCAAACGAGGCTGCTACGGATGTAAAAAGACCAATTACTTATTAATAGGATGATCCTGGAAAACTGCTTCCGTGGAAAAAAAATCTTAGTATTGCCTGGATAGATTATCGTAAAAGCATTCGATAGTGTACCACATTCCTGGATCTTAAAGTCTTTAAGTATGTACAAGGTATCACCCGTTATCATCAATTTCATCAAACAATGTATGTCGATATGGAAAACTACACTTTACCTCAATCATAAAAATGGAACCTATAAGTCTGGCGAAATAAACATCAATAGAGGAATATTTCAAGGTGACTCTTTGTCTCCTTTATTATTTTGCATATCACTTATAGCATTAACCAGCCAACTTAACAAGACAGAATGCGGTTACAAAATAGCTCAAAAGAAAATAAACCATCTATTTTACATGGATGACTTAAATTGTATGCTAGGAATGACAATGAGCTGGAAGGTCTTCTGCAAACTGTAAAATGCTTCAGTGAAGACATTGGAATGAAATTCAATTTGGATAAATGTGCTAAAGCTACAGTTTTACGAGGATCGCTACAACAAACTTCCTCTATTAGTTTAGACCCTGCTGTAACAATAAAAGATTTAGAACAAGGAGAAGCTTATAAGTACCTAGGTGTAAATGAGAGTGAAGGAATTCACCATAAGAAAATGAAAAGAAATAGTGCGTAAAGAGTACTATAGAAGGTACGACTGGTATTAAAAACTGAATTGAATTCTCAGAACAGAATTATGGCCATTAATAACCTTGCCATCCCAGTGGTCCAATATAGTTTCAACATCTTGAACTGGACTCTAAATGACATCAGACAAATGGATTCTAAAACAAGAAAGCTTCTTTTCTAAGTATAAGATGCATCATCCAAAGGCTGATGTAGACCGTCTATACATACCCCGTAAAGAAGGTGGAAGAGGTCTTATTCAGCTAGAATTGTCATACAAGACAAC